TTAATATATATTCGTATTAATATACCTATATTTGTATTCAGGTTAATTAAATTTGCACCAATGGAGAGAAGTCGTACGGTAAATTTATAATAAGCTCGTGGCGATCACTGTTTGAAGACACGTTAGCGCAGAAATTTTCATAGCGTGGAACAGGGGCAAAAAATGTATAAGAGGGATAAATTTGACGTTGGCAATTCGAAGTAAGTTGAACCGCTGTATCGAATAGTCATTTCATTTATTTTAACTTTTTGTTCAGATTCGTTTACAAAAAAGTTTGCGTTGGAGGACAGCGAATTTGACAAAATAAGTCAAACATTTTTTCAGTACGCACATGACCGAGCCTCAAAATTTACAAGTACCAGGAAAAAAAACAAAGAAATGAAAACGATGTTCAAGAATAATAAGTTTTAATTACATGTTCATGTTATAATTTTAAAGTAATGAATATTTATTATTTTAATTTTTAAATTGTTTTAAACCTTGATAAAACTGAACATNAGAATCAACTGGAATGGAACAGCTCTAATTGCCACTCTCATTAATTTCTCGATAGCAAAATGGATCGCAAAAACTTCCGCCTGAGATACGTTTCCACTATCGAAAACTCTTCGAAAAACCTTTTGAAAACGCATATCGACAGGTAATACTTTTACGATACTTTTTCGGGACCCGTTCTCAATAGTGTTTTAAGCGAAATTGTTGCTAAAATATCTAAGCCGGATGCATTCTCGTGTACGTTTGTCGGGTTGGCTGACGTCAGGATTTTTTAAAGAACTTTGAAATTTCAAAGATATGATTAATTCTCAAAAATTATTTTAAACATTTTGTGTGAATACTGTAGAATTAAAAAAATTGGGTATAGGTATTGAAAATGCCCTTTAAAACATTTTTATATTTTTTAAGCTAATAAATTTAGGACAAAATTCGAGGATGTGGTCGTATATACTATGATTATGGTGGCGTTTTCTTTTCTACCGACAAATTTTGCATTTTCCGTGCCCTCCACGCACAAGTACTACGGAGAGGGCAATGAAAAGACAATATTTTTTGTAGAAAAGAATACGCCATTAGTCTTTGGCCCCCAGTTTTGCGAATATGTATATTGTTTTTTTTTT